TTAGGCCACGCCCGAGAGCTCTCTCTCCAAGCTTTTTCACAAAAACCCTGTCTTTCGCATCATGCGAGATTAAATCACTTATTGTACAGCCCACCCACACAACTCACTGATAATGCCGAGCTGCTATTTTGCACGTACACTCGCCGTCCGCCCGCCCCAGCGACTGTCTCTGGCCCTGTGCGGGTGGCTAGCTTTGTTCGTGTTGGTGGCCACGCCCCAAGGTGTGAGCGCTGACTGCTGCCCTTTCGGCGGAGCCTCCTTTTACCAGGATTCTGTCGTCATTTATAAGTCCGATGCACAGCCCCCCGGCGAACTGCCGATAATCGACCAGTCTAACAGCATGGGCGTCGACTACTCCGATGATAGGGTTATTAGTGTCGTGGCCAACCAGCAGAGTAATGGGCTGAAGGTCGGTCATCGATGCAATTACTGTGAAAGGGGGAGCGTGTAAGCTGCTTGCTGGGTTTTTAGGTTCCAATATTAGGACGCTTTCAGCCATGGGTGTTAAGGTGTGACTGGCGGAGCCATCGTCTTCTTTTGTAAAGATCTAAAACCATGCCATGATGAAATGACGCCATAACCTGACTAACCTCGCTTCCCTCAGGGCATTCTCCTTAATTTCAACACTTCGTGCGACTCCATCTCTGCCGCCGCCTTCTACGTTGCCAACAATCTCGACAGTTTCACCCTTCCCTACATTCAGGCCTCTCCCATCGTTGCCCTGATCCAGCGCGGCAACTGCAGCTTTACTGACAAGCTCAACATCGCGAGCACGACTGCTGTGACTGCCAACTTGGCCCTCGTTGGCGTCATCTTATACGACAATGTGCCCGACTCGCTCCTCGGTGCATCGCCCAACATCAGCTGGAACATCAGCACCTACCCGGACAACGATGTCGACGAGATAATCGCAATGGTCGGGAATCCTAGCAACAACAACTTCGTGCCCACTATCTTTGTGCGGAACGGTTTGGGATTGGTAATGCTGCAGCAGATAGACAATTTCGCGTTTAACGCGTCAATACCCATGAATACAACAGACGGGAACTCTGTGGTAAGGGCTTTTGTGCGAGTCGATATCCTTAATAGCAACTCCGCAAGCACTACCGAGTTTTGGATGTCCTTCCTCAAGAACTGGGTCCCGGGGCTCTTGATGGTAGGCCTAACAATAATCTTTGGTATGTTTATGTTGCTCTTCTCGTTTTTTGCAGATTCAAACACCTTTTTTTTTTTTAAAAAAAAAAAAAAAAAAAAAAAAGCAAAAAACAAAAAACAAAAAAACAATAATAATAATAATAATAATAAAATTTAAATTCCCATCTATTATTATCCTTAGCCACCATCATCTTCCGCCTGCACCGCAGACATACCCTCCGTATGTTAACGGTCCGCGTCCGTACGATGCGCGAAATCACCAAGCTGCCCCGTTCGATTCTCGAAACCTTTCCCATACGGCTCTATAACGCCGAGGAAGTCAAGAATCAGAGCTGCGCTATATGCCTTGACGACTTTGTTGAAGATGAGAGCAACCTGCGTCTGCTGCCGTGCAGTCACGGGTTTTGTGTCGAGTGCATAGGTAAGTGTTTATAAACTTTTGGGGATTGGGGATTGCGTGGGTCTTGTAGGAGAGATCGTGTTCATGTCGGTTCTATTTTTTTGAGGTTGTGTCTCTAATTTATTTTTTGAATCATCAAAAAAAAAAAAAAAAAAAAAAAAAAAAAAAAAAAAAAAAAAAAAACAGACCCTTGGCTGTCGACTAAATCCGCACAATGCCCCATCTGCAAGTTCAACTTCCTTCCCTCCAAATCTTCGACTGATCTGAGCGAAGGCGACCCCACCGAGACCGTGACCATCGAGATGACTACCTTTCCGGCAGTCTCAGAGGCAGAGAACATGCCACAGATAAGAGAGATTTGGGAGCAAGTGGAAATGCTGGATCCGGAAGTATCCAAGCAAGAGCGCCAGACGAAGATGGAAATGGAAAAGAGGATGGATGAGGAAAAGGACGAGGAGGTGCAAGGGGTCGAACTCGAGACTGTGGTGATTGATAGGGAAGCGATGGAAGAGGAAAAGATAAAAGCGGTAGAAGAAGAAAAGACGGAGGGAGGAAAGGCGGCAGACCCAGTAGAGGAGGAAAGGCTGGAAGCGGCAGAAGTGGAAAAGGCGGACGCGGTACAAGGGAAAAGGCGGACGGCGGACGCGGTGAAAGAGGAAAAGGTGGACGTTGCGGAAGAAAAGGCGGGGATGGCACAGGAGAATAGGAGCGATATCGCGTAGTAGCGTCGTTTTTTTTTTTTTTTCCCCCCCCCCCCCCCCTTTTTTTTCCCCCCTTGGCAGCAGACCAGCCGGATATTGAACATGACAATGATAAACATATATATTTTTTTCAAACACGCCTTTTAACTTTGAGTCGTGGTGCGGGGAATCGTGGAAAAGGAGATTGAAATAGGCTAGTGGATCAACCGCCGTAGCCTCTAAAGGTATGGGCCTAAAGAATACCAGTATATTAAGGCCAAGGATACGGCCCATAGCACGATCGTATAGGAGGGACGAAAACAACAATTACGTGTGTATTCAGTTTAGAACACCAGAAACGAAAATGAAAAAAGTACGTAAATAAATAAACGAGATGTCTTCTAAAAGTTTTCATCCTTCATTACCCTCACGACGTCGTCGTCGTCGTCGTTGTTGTCGTCGTCGCCGGTTGCTGTCCAAAAAAGAAGCCGACGCCATCCCCCGCCGGCCAACTCGTACACGTTCGGTTCGCGATCGGCACGCCCAGTACGGGTTCGTCATTGTCGTTCCACGTGAACTCCTGCGCGCGGATCGTGCGTCCTGTGACAGGATTAGTGCTTGATTCTGTGTGGCTCGTGTCGCGCGCCGAGTAGAAGATCCAATTCTGCCGGTCCTTCTCGGTGCGGTTCTGTGTGGCTGTGGGGGGGTTGACCACCACGGCTTCCAGGAAGGTCGCACCACCGGGAGAGTGTACACCATCGGTAGCGGAGGAGGAGAAGAAGGCCTGGGTATACTTGGTATAAGAGTCGGGGTCGAGGGGTAGTGACGGGACATCGATAGAAATGAGGCCTAGTGTGCATGTGTGAGAAGAAGGAAGTGATGGTGAGTAGGTATAGACGAGTTGGTTGTGCGCACGATGCCCTCGTTTCCAGATACCACTAAAATACTCACCTAATGCATATTGACCCGTCCAGGATGCACTGGCGGAATAGACAATATAGTAGTCATACTGAGGAGATACTAGCACTTGGGGAGCCTCGTTGATTGCTATGTAGTCGGAAAAGTGGTTAGTTAGAGAATACGAGCCAGTTATTATTATTATTATTTTTTCCATTTAAGAAAATAAGGAAAATTCACTTCATTTGCACATTGTCCCCATTCTCCCTTTCACACACTCCTTCCCCCCCAAAAAAGAAAAATATGACACACACCCTCTCCATGCTTCTCCCATGCGTAATCAGCCTGGCTAATCTCGATTCGGGAGCTGGTGACGGTGAGGGGAGCCGTGAGACTGGCAATATAAATGTTGAGCGACGGATCGTCATTAGTGTCACGACCGGACCAAAGGAGGTACGTGGTCTGGGAGTCTGCCGGATAAGTATAAATTGTGGGGTCGCCGGCCCTATTATTGTGGAAGGTGGGGAAAAGGGGTTGTAGATGAGTGAGAAAAATATAGGCAGGGTCCAGGGGGAAACGAAGATACTAACCAAAGATCAGAGGCAGGGTCTTTAAATATCATCTGACCCAAAAACTTGTATGGACCTGTTGTCAAGCAAGCAAATAAATAAATAAATAAAAATCACATCAGCATCATCCACAAAATTTTAGCAACAATACTCAGTCTTCTCCACCTCCGAAACCCATCCACCTCCGAAACCCAAAAAGACTAAATAAAAACGCTTGTGTACCTAGTGGGCCGAACCACACGCCCTGAAGGACGAACAACTTGCGGATGCCGACCTCCTGGCCAGGGACGATACTCTCCCCGCCGAAATAGATGTACCACTGGTTGTTGATTAGATGGAGCTCTACGAGCGGTAATGTGATGATGGTCAGGCAGGGACATTTGTGAGCGATCGTGCGGGAAAAGGATTAGGGGCTACAAGAGTAACATTACCTGGGGCGTGCACGGTACCATTCGGGTTAGTCGGCCGATAAACCTCTACAGTTGTAGCATTGTCCCATACATGAAGAAGGGTGGAGCGGCTGTGATGGGAGAAATGTGTTAATGCAAAAGCTTGATTTACGAGTTCCCTGTTCTGTCATATTGAGCTTGTAAAAATTTTCCCATTCCCTTTCCCGGCATCTTGTTTATACGCGTCTCAGTCCAAACCATTTTGCTTCCATGTCTTTTGTTTCTCCCTGGTGTTTATAAATACGACCACACGCTAAAACACAATCTACTCACAGTACGATGACGCTCCGCTGGTCTGCGGCTGTCCTCGTCATGAAGAAGAACCCCTCGTGCCGTATGACCCATGGGTCTGCGCTATTTGCGGTGAGGACCGGGTTGTGGAATTGCTGGGCATTTGAGCAGGTGGTGGCGGTAGCAGCGAATGAGGGAAGGGCGAGGGCGAAAAGGAGGAGTGCAAGAAGCACGGCCCGTGATGGTATCAGTGCCATCGAGGATGACAGGGGTGGTCGGGAGAGGAGAGGGAAATCAGTCAAATGGCGAATGTGTGCAGGAGGTGGTGTGCAGGAGGTAGTAGGGGAGAGGGTTGAAAGGTTGAACGATAAGAGGTCGACTGAACGGCTGTTGAGGTTGTTGTCGAGCTTTTCGAGATTTACTGTTCCATAAAGTCAACAAGTGGTCTCTTACGGCCGGGAATGAACGAGGAACACTGTGTGTGCAACCTCAAGGAACAGTCGCACAGCCTGTCCAGAAAAGGAAATTTGCTTTATTATTCTGAAAGTTGCGTCATCGCTATTATTATTTGAATTTTATTTTATATAATATTAGTTGTTATCGCCCTCATCAAAGAATTGGCTCAATGGTCTAGTAGTATGATTCTCGCTTCGGGTGCGAGAGGTCCCGGGTTCAATTCCCGGTTGAGCCCCATTTTTTGCTTTTTCCTTCGCGGGCTGTTCACGTCTTATGTTGTGATTTTCTATTTTGTTGCGTAATAATAATATTCGGATCATTTTTATCCATAATCATAGAAAATGTGACTAAAAGTCTCTGGTTAACTTGTATTTAAAATCTCCTTTTCTTTTTAAAGATGTAACTTCAACCAACCCCTTCTGGTAACGTCCATGTCCACCATTACAACGTCATTAAATAAACACCTCACATTAGTGCCAACTCATCCAGCGCTTTGCCCGTTACACGGAAGATGCTCCAGTCCACCATCGGGATGGCGCCGAGGGATTTATAAAACCTGATCGAAGGCTGTTTTGTGGGTTTAAAAGGAGGGGAAAAAAAAAAAAAAAAAAGAAAGAAAAAAAAAAAGTACTAAATTTAACATTTGAACATTCGAACGCGTGTAGAGCGTAGATCCGATAGCTCAAAGGGCGGTTGTTCAAGTAAAATAGCCAGATCCAACTCCTGGCGGCGACAACTGGCTCACCTCGTTCCAATCCAACACGCTCCACTCGACTCGGCCGCACTCCCTTTCCTGTGCGAGCCCGGCCAGGTACACGAGCAACCTTTTACCGAACCCATGACCACGCCATTTGGCGCTGACGTACAAGTCCTCAAGGTAAATGCCCGGTTTGCCTAGGAAGGTGCTAAAGTTGTGGAAGTAGAGCGCGAATCCTACGGGCTCCTCAGTTCCCTCGGGAGTACCGTAGTACGCCAGCGCCACCTCCGCGTAGGGGCGCGGGCCAAACAGGTTGCGGTGGAGCAATGCCTCGGTCGCGGTCACCTCGTGCGAGAGCTTCTCGTAGAGGGCCAAATCCTTGATGAAGGAAAGGATGAGAGGGACATCCGAGGGGGTGGCAGGGCGGATAATAAAGTTGGCGAGATCAGTCATGTCAGTTGGTGGGTGAAGTGTGGGGAAGGAACGATATGATAGATTTGAAGATTTGAGATAGTCTGTCCACGTGACCTACTCTGGAATTTCCATAAATGCCAAATGGCCTCGCAATAACATATGTGCCACGAAACATAAATAAAATAAAGAAAGGCACAACCAAAAAAACAAAAAACAAAAAACAAAAAAAACATCGTTTTGAAAAATACCCTCGAGTTGCCAAATCTGTTTTGTTGTCGATGTGGTCGTGTCGGCATACACGTTTTTGTTGAGGAATGTCAGGAGTTTTGTAAAGTCTGCAGTGACGCCCAGTTAATGTTGGGTGTAAAAATGTAAAAATATTCTATTCGAGACAAGGAAAAAAAGGAGCTAGAGGTGTTTTTTCTTTTTTTTTTTTTTTTTGTTTTAAAAATGCAAATAGCAGCCTCCGTTGCCATATTAGGCGGGATTCTTTGAACGCATACTAGCTCTTGCAACGGCTTTCATTATAGATATCCAACGGCGTTCTGGAACGAGCTCGAGTAGATCAGCTTGATTTCCGGATCGGTTTCATCACTTGGAGTCTATCTTGTGGCAGCGGTGGCAGATCCTTGGCTTCCTTGAGCCTATCAACACTTGCGGCCTATGCATCACGTTCAGACGCTCGTTGCATATTAGTGAATTAAGCATATGTAAAGTAAACCAAATTGCCAGTTCCGTGATTATATTATATAACATTACCAACGAGAATTATCTCATCTCCAAGAGCACCATAGCAATCCAAAAAAAAAAAAAAAAAAAAATTGGGACACACGAATCTCATGAAGCGTAAAAGCGTTGACACTGCATACACTCTTGTCCTTAAATAAAAAAACCCTCAACAGTTTCACACGACGTAATTAATGTAGGACTTTTGGCTCTTAATCAATACAAGAAAGGATTTATTCAGGCTCAAAAAGCCTGACGATAATTCAGGAGACATATTATGCATCTTCAGAATGTTCTTCAGTATTGGCTTGTTTGGCTGTTGAGAATGACAATGAGAAAAAGGTAGGTTAAACGTTTAACAATGACTCAGGAAGCTATACCTTATTTGATACCATCCACAAAAAATTCATTCAATCATTAAACAAAATCCTCATCATTATCTCTACCACATAGTCACGTCACGTTACGTCACGCCATCACTTATATCAGTAGATCAATGCCCATTCCTCCCAACCTACCGATCATAGTTGGCTCCACCGGCCTTCTTTAGCTTGATCAAAACGTCCGCCTCGTCCAGATCCTCGACATGACTCGCCGGAATTTCGATATGGTATGACTTGAGCACATTCTTGACATCAGCAATCTGGGTCTGTAGGCCAGTCGGGTCTTGTGTTAGTGTTGTGCAATTTTTCTTTTCTTTTCCTTCAAAACAATAGGCAACAAATGAAAGGAATGAAAACAAAAGCTCACACTCAGCTTTGCCTTCAGCTTCACGCCGACGCTGGGACCGCACCACGAAATTAAAATAAATTTGACACGCTGACTGTATTCATCGTTCGACATGGGCACCCTAAATATCCGCGCCATAGGGAATGAGAAAGCCATCGATCCGTGAGCTATTAAAGAGATTCGACGACTCCTCAGTCCACTCAAATGGGATGAACAAAACGGCAGCTCATGCATCCTTCTCTCATATTCCTTATATTCATAAAGAAAAAGAGAAAGACTTGCACTGACCTTACGTATCCCCACCCCGCCACGTCCTCCCCCAGCACACGCACAAACTCTGCGAGGCCACCGCTCCCCGTGGCGGCTAGCCTTAATGGATCGGACTTGCCGGCAGCGAAATCGAAGAATGCCCTGTGGGGACAAATGGAGCGAGTGTCAGTGCGTGGGAAAGTAGGTTCCAGGACACTGAAATGAATATTGGGTGCAGGAACCCTTACCAGTTCGTTTCCGTCTTGTCTGGAAGCCCAAACGGAAAAAAATTAGTAGATCATTATGCGAAATACCTCTGCCAAGAACGTTTGAGAATGCAACTCGGCAGCGCAGCAGCGTAGCAGCCCCGCATCCCTAGAAGACTTACCGTCCCTGACGTCTTCATACGCCTCGGCAATAGCAGGGTCCTTTGTCCACGCCAGTACAAAACAAACCTCAGTATTCGCAGAACACACGACTGCTAAAATAATCGAATACTTACATCGGTGAAAGACATAGACATTGTTTGGTTCTACTTTGAATTCGGGTATGCTTGTGAGAGTTCATTTTGATAGCAAGTGTTACAAGGTGAACAAAGTGAACAAAGTGATCATGTGATATTGACAATCACATGACCCAAATGGCTATTTTACTGTTATTCTACCGTAAACTCCGGACTATAAGCCCCCCAAAATATACGTAATTATAAAACATGGGGGCTTATAATCCGGAGTTTACGGTGGTTCAAAATAAGGAATGTAATATACAGCGGTCGAAACAAGAGAGACAAAAAGTGTTGAGAGAGGAGTTGTCCGACGCTTGGCTAATGAGTTGGTCTACACATTTTACACTAGTTCTCTCTTCCAGCCGACCAGCCGAGAAAGCGGACGCCCCATGAATTAAAATGCAAGGGGCCGGAAGGAAAATAGCCGAGGACTTCTTTCTTATAGCAAAAATAGCAAAAATAGCAAAATAGTTCCCCGGATAGGTCACGTTTACCATGTAAACCAGCAACTAGATAAACCGCAAAAAGTCCCTACATTCCGCATTCCGCACGTCCGCACGTCAGAAAAACAAAGATGAAGTCCAACGATGGCCTCCCGCCCACCCTCTCCACCGCCACGCTAGTCCAGCCGCCGGCCAAGAAGACTTTCCTGTGGCTGCCCATCAACCCACGAATCTCGCGTCTCAACTTTGTCGGCTACCTCGTCACGACCCTCTTCTCCATCACCTTCTTCGTCTTTCTTGACTCCTCCCAGACCTTTGTTCTTTCCGAGCTCCTCGGCGTCACCTCCTCCTCCGGCACCATCTCTGGTGACCTTGCCTTCTATGATGAGCTCCTCAGTATCTTCCTCGTCGCCCTCTGGGGCTCGCTCTCCGACCGTATCGGCCGCCGCCCTGTCGCCGTCGCCGGGTACCTAATGATGGGCCTTGGTCTCTTCGTTTTCACTACAGCCCCCAACGTCTATCCAGCCCTGCTTCTTTGCCGTCTCACTTTTGCCATCGGCGCCGCGGCCGCTTCCGCCATGATCACTGCCCTCACTGGTGACTACTCGGGCGCTGGGGGCCGCGGCAAGGTCGCTGCAGTTGCTGGACTGTTCTCGGGTCTCGGCGCGCTGATTGGTGTGTTTGTACTGCTGCCGCTGCCTGCGCAGCTAACAGTAGGGGGCAACCAGGGACAAGCGGTGAAGACAACGTTTTATATTACTGGAGGGATTGCATTCGCGATTAGCCTGATAGCGTTTGCGCTATTGAAAGGGGATGAGAGGAGTGGATGGGAAGAGAAAGGTGATGCGGAGGAGGAAGCGGTGGAGGCGAGGAAAATGCCATTTTATATGCTTATTTATAAAGGCTTTGCGGCAGGGAAAGATTTGAGAGTCAGCTTGGCATACGTGTGTGGATTTGTCGTAAGTATTTGCTTTTCTTCTTCTTTTTATTTACACTTATATACGAGACGGTTTTAATATCTCTTTGTGATACTTTTTGTATTTCATCCCGCATTTAAATCATACTCCCGCATATTTAAATCACACTCATCCTAACTCACTTTATCCCCCCCCCCC